TGACCAGACAGCTCGCCTATTCAACTTGTATTCACTGAGGGAGCATAGAGGCAGTGTATTTACAGGGTGGGGACAGAGATCGGGTGAATATCTGCAATACCGAGAGCATTTGCCACAAAAGAAATCCCAAAGTCTTCATTCTAGCTGTCTATTATTCGAGTGTTGCATTGCATAAAGCAAAAATGAGCATATTTGCATTTTTGCATAGAATGGTTTGTGTACTCTTTTGCACCCGCAATAACCATTTGACCACCTTTCCTGGTAAAAAAATTGGTATTTGGAACAGAATCACACAGTGAGAAATGTAATTAAGTGAAATGGGAAAATGACGTCCTGGATTTACCATGAAACAAAACAGACAATCCCATAGATTTCTTAGTATGTCAGTTTTCACAATACAGTTTACTAAGAGTAACTGTTAGTCTTTTAAGTCTTTTAACTAAGACAAGCATATTTAAGTAATTCTAACTTTTTGGCACAAGATCTTCACCAGACTGTTCCAATACAGTGCAAAACTTACCATGATCTGTTTGCACTTCTTCGGCTGCAAAAAAAAGTCTGTCCTTTGCTTGTAGTCCTGGTGCCACGTTTGAATTTTATCAGCTGCTTTGATATTCCGGCATCTACATTTAAATCTCAGTGGAGTCATTTGAGTTTTCTTTTTTTATCTTTCAGAATGATTCAGGTTTGTTTATGAAGCCTTTAGGGTTAACTGTACTTTGTGTTCATAAAAAAAGGAATCGAGCTGGAGAACATGTTGTCCTTCCATAATATTACTTTTTTGTGTGTTTATGTTGATGCACTAAAAGCAATAAAAGGCTAAGATAAGTCCATTTAAAGACTTTTGTTGTACCATAATTTAGAAAATTGAAGCAGGTTCATTACACATTTCTTGCTTTTAAAAACTACTTTTATAACATTTTTATAAGATATTTGCAACGTGGTGTGTAGACTTCATTCCTCTTACATCTACTATTCTCTTTCAGACTTGTGAAACATTGATGGTAAATAAATGTGCAGCTCTCTGAACAGCAACACAGGAACACCTGCTTTTTTCTATCCATCATATTAGCTTTGCATCTTCTGGAAAAGATGACATCCAATTCCAGGGCAGACAGACTTACTGAAGAAGACATGAACATGTGACTTCCTGGAGATATCCAGGGTTCATTTTGATATCAGTAATAAATTCTGTTTGCAGTTACCACTGTTTTGGGCTCAGTGGTAAATGCAAACTAATAATTGTAAGAAAAAAAACTTCTCTCTTTTCTGTTCAACCTAATATTTCAAAAATAACTTTTTGATGAGTGCAACAAGCACTGTAACATAGGAAGGTGGCGTGACCTATGTTGCAGTCAAGTCAACATGTTGGGATATCTGCACTTTCCTCACAATGTTGTTTCAACGTTCTCCAGCTAAGCTGATTGCAACAACAGTGATAACGAGCAGCTGTGAGCACAGTAACAGTAAAACAGGTGGTGGTGATAAACGGAGCTCAGGCAGCACAAAGGTATCTACAGACACCATTAGGGGAAGTTTTTGACATTGAAGTAAAAAGGAAGTTAATGAGCTCCCACCATAAGCTGTGGTTTCTTTGGCTTGGTGGGTTAAAATGGTTTAATATTGTAAAAAATTGTCAGCTAAGACCTGACTAAGCGTTATGCTGTATCCAGTTTCCCATGTTTGTGTATATGTGCCTGATTATCAAATGCATTCGGAAATATAAGACAAAATCATCCTTTACAAAAAGTGTGCATGCGCATCATGCTATGAACATGTTTTGGTTACATTACTGACACCAGCAAAAAATACAAGATACACAAGAGTTGTATGGAACGAGGGTTTGCTGAGTATTAAATGTTAACGTAAATATAGAAGAATGAATAATTCTGTGAGGTAGCCAGATGCAGACCAGAGCAGCCTCCTAATGAACACACTGATCTGTTGCAGCAGAGTTGAGGGACAGACCTCTATCTATTAATGGTGCTTCCAGCTTCCCTCTTCAAGGTTTTAATGAAGAAAGGGTGATTTGTATCTCATCCCGTTTCTCTGGCTTGCCCCAATCCTGTTTTGTTCCCCTCTTATGCTCATTAAGAATGAATTATAGTTGACGATGACATCTAAAAGAAATGAAGTTTAATGAAACTTTAAAATATCGTCAGGCTTTTCTCCCAAAAGAAAAATTTAACTTATTGTCTATTTTTTCCATTCCCTCAACATTTCATATTAGTCTCTGGTGTCAAACAAGCTGTCCACAATTACTCACCACCTTCTAAAGTCAATCCGATTATTTTCCCTGAACCCAAACCATCCTTTTTACAGGTCTACATTGTCATTTGTCTCTTACAAACAAAAGGTCTTATATATTCATCCAAATTCACCCGTTTTTACCATGTGGTAGAGATTTGATCCCCGAGTAGAGAGGGCACCTGGGATTAGCCAAAGAGGGGATTGGGCCGTGTTTTCAAAAGCTTGTCATGGTCATAAGTGATGGATCAAAAATACAGTTACAGACTGTTAAAAGTTTCATGGTCTGATAAAAATTTAAAGGATCTGTTTTTCAGATGTGATCACAGGAGTGTGTCCGTTTCAGCTTGTTGGTCAGCCTGCATTTGATTGTCCTGAAGATTAACCTTTCCTTTTGCATTTTATTTTCAGGATAATAAAACATACTTGATAGCATTTCTTTTTGCTGCTTTGATGAAGTCAGGCAAAAATATGTATTCTTAAACAGATTTTGTTGGCAGATGCAGCTAAAGCAAAAGAAAATAGTCCAGATATTTGAAGTCTTGGTGCATATTTCACATAGGACTTTTTCGTTTGGTCCACAGCTTGTAGCTCAAGGCTTTGTGGCGCAGTACAGCCATATGAATCCCCCAGCTTGTTTTTATTTTTCTTCTTCTTCTTCTTCTTCTTTTTTTTTGGAACTTGCTAAAAAATAATGTCATTTTCTATTTATGCCTATATATATATCTCAGAAATTAAAACCCCTTTTGTTTTGCTGGGATTATAAGTCTCAGCAAAATACTTTTTCTTACGTTTTATTTTGATATTGGGGAGAACTTTTGGAGATGAAGGCTCCAAGTACATGTTAGGAAATAAAATAATTTTGTATCTGGCTATGGATACCACCAACCTGCATCAATTAAAGTTCTTACCTTTACCTAAGTTGAAAATAAGGGTGCTGTATGAAGAATGTTAGTATACAGAAGTGAAGGTTATTGGCATGATTGACATGCACTTTCTTAATGTAAGCAAATTGGTCTCTACACTACACCCACTCTGTCAGTACTGGTACTGTAATGAGGTCTGTGTGGCTCGTTTATGGCCTTCCATCCTACACCCAATTATGAGACTGCTGAGTGACTGATGCCACAGTGATTTCAGGTCAAAACGGGTTTGACTGTTGGCTAAATGGTGTAACCGTAGCAGTAAATTGTGTCCATCTTTAGTATGTGCTTATGCTCTGTCCATACAGCAGTGTGTGTTTGTGGGTTTGGGGCAGACGGAAACAACTATATTTTGTTACAGAAATGGGACGGATATTGCTTTTCATCAGAACCCAACTGGTGCTTGTCTTGGTCCAGAGCCTGCTGTGTATGAGTAAATTAATTTAGTCTTTTCAAATGTCAGTTGCAGTTCTAACATTTCAGGCCATTTAGTCTTTCTAACGCTGGAGAAAAAATATCTTGCACAGTTTAGATTTTCTCTAACCCGTTTTACTACCCTTTGTTTTCAAAGCAGATTTAAATTATCCATAATTGTCTTATTTAGTATGATGAATCCTTACTATTGAACCAGATTAAATTTAAAAATTTTCAACAGCTGACTTTCCTCAGTGTTCTGAGCATCCAGCGTTTGTCTAAAGCTGAGGTGGTAAGAAGCCTGAGATTCTCGCTCTATGACCAACCTAAAGTGTTTTGTTTACCAATGTGTGGGCAGTGCTTTGCATGCCTTAATATTAATCTTGGGGAACACCATTTCTTTTTTTAAATCCCTCTTGCCAACTTCACCTTAAAGTCGTTTTTCCTTGTTTGTTTCTCTCTAGACAAACATCCCATTCCTCCAGAATGTTCTGTCCAACACTCAGTTCTTGCACTCGACCGTGGACACCCAATTCATTGATGAGAATCCGGACCTCTTCAACCTGAAACCAACTCAGAACCGAGCCCAGAAACTGTTGCACTACCTTGGTCAGTGTATAAACTGTACATAAAAAATACTTTCAATGTTTCAGTGTTTAGTGTGTTTTGATAGCTTCATACATTATCATGTTTACTTTTTGTTGTTCAAACATGAAGTTGCTTTCAAAATCAGTTCTATGCAAGCATAGAATATAGGTTAATAATTCAATAGCCATTTAAAAGCAGAACACCACATTCATGATTGCTTTTATGGCTTCAAAGATGGAAATTTGATAAGGTTTCAAGAGCTGTTGATATTTTCAGATCAGAGATTACTTTATGCATGAGTTGATGCTCAGTCCTCAGATCAATGTGAATGGTAAATTCACATTAAATGCCCTCCAGGCAGCCTACGGTGCCAACAAAGAAAAATCAACATTTAGTGATTATATACATACCAGAGAACACAAAACAGGAATTTTTCTATTCTTTTTTCTGCCCCCCCCCAATACTCATGCATCTTACTTGTGGCCTCTTATTCTGCTGGTTTTCAGGTCACGTGATGGTAAATGGGCCAACAACACCTATCCCAGTCAAGGCCAAGCCCTCCTCCATAGACCCTGTGATACCTCCTGTGACCATGGGTATGTTAATCAGACATTTTTATCAAGTGTTTTTTTATTTACCTTCTGTCATACATGGACAAGTAAGAATTTTTGGCACACCCATCCATGGGAGATTGAGTATAAAAGCTTAAACAGTTATGCAATTACATGGGCTTTGAAGTTCCCTGTTTGGGTCAGTGTAAATTGTAATGATATTTAATATAAAAATTCTAACAATTAAAAAATACTATATATTAGTAATACTATATATAGTAACTACTACTACTATAGTAACTACTACTATATATTTAGTCAAATCCATCATTCTGGTGCAGTTAATGATATCTACTAGAAGAGGAAGTCTTCAGACATTGTCTTAAGACTTGTTAATTATGTTGCTGTGCATCATCACTGTTGAATGTATCATATGTGGACTATTTTAGCAAGACACTGCCACAGCAAGGGTGAGGGGTTTAATTTCCCAAAGGGCGCCAAAGCTAAAAATGTAAACACTTGTGGATCCAGAGGGCACTTTAGATAAAAGCGCTCACTGAATGACAAATGAGCTGTCCAGCAGGCTGATAGCTGTAGGCAGAGAGACATCCGTGAACGGCTCATTTTAGCACTCTGGGAGGAAAAGGGTTTTAGCCCAGAGTGCTCTGCTGAGCTGTGAGCACAGCTCATTGTTTGCAAAGGCAGAAGTTGTTCACTTCCCACCATGCTATGCACCCGCACCCCCGTTGTCTTGCAGGAAGGCTGATGATCATGCTGCACTCTTTTATGAGCTACTTTGTCTGTGTTCCCACCACACCAACTACAGGCTCATACTCAACCTTGGACACTTACTTTCATAATCATATACATTTTAAAGGGCATATTGTCCTCAAGTATTTTTTTGTGTGGACATATATATAATATCATATATATTTGTCATTTTTATTCTTTTTTATCCACGTAACATGAATGCCTGAATTAATTGAATGCCTGCCCTTTCTGAAGCAACATAATAGTTTCATCAATCTGACATGTTCATCAGCTCGAGCCTGCGTTCCTGTAAACATAAATTTACAATAAACTAATGAAAATAAAATGATTCATAATCACTAATCAGATCTGACATTTTAAAATTGTGTTCACTGGAATGGAACAGAATAAGGCAGAATAATCTCTTGTCCGTGCCTGCATTAGTGTGCATTTTCCCATGCTTACCCACCTCTTGTATTGCTTATGCAAATCTTTTGTGTGAAGCAATTATTGCCCATCTCAGTTCTGGCAGGAAAGTAAAGACACAGTAATGCACTAAGTGCACAAATTGGCACATATGCACTGTACTGATCAGGCACTTCACTGTTTAGACATCTTTTGTGTACCCCCCACTTACCTACTGTATGCTGCTGATGAGGCAGTTGCATGCAGCACATGCATGCACAGAGCCGTACCTAAAGCCTAGTAATGAGATTTGTAATGTGCTTATATCCTTTCTTTCATTTGACGGAGGGATTGAGAGAAGAGAGGGATTAGGCTGTATTATCACACTCTGTGTAGAGAGGCATAGAGGGTGGGATAGGAGACGGGGCTTGTATAATCCCTATGGAGAAAAAGGCCTGGTGGACATTAGGGAAAGTGTGGAGATATGGATAAATTGATCAAGATAGAAAGAGGAAGGAGCAGAGGAATAAAAAAAAACTCAATATCGCAATGAAGTTGGTATAAGTGTGAACATATTTAGATGAAGAGAAAGGAGAATGCATTACTGGATGGATAATCACCATTGAAGTGTTTTTTTCTGATGCCACTATTTTCTAATTAAGATTTGTAGTCTCACACATTGCCTCTGAAGGCTGATTGCTGGTTGTTCGTCAATGGTATTGAGGTACAACTTGTTCCAAATTATTTTCAGAATTTATTAGATGGAGGACATCCATCCATCCATTGTCTTTACCGCTTATTCCCTAATGGGGTCGCAGGGAGAACTGGAGCCTATCCCAGTGGTCAATGAGCGAGATGTTAATCCCCAGATGCCTCTGAGCCATCTCCTTAAAAAAATACTAATAAAGATGACAGTCTACAGTCTTCCAAATATCTACTATAATTCCATTTATAGGATCAGAAAAGAGGACTATATAAAAGAGCACAGTAATAAATACTTTAAAATCCAAATCTTATGGTCATCTGCTTATTTGAAGTTTTGCATCGTTATAGTTAATCTTTAAACACAAACTGTTTTAGCTTTTTTTTGTTCATTCTGTACTATTGTTTACGTACAAACCTCACTGTGGGGTGGTCTTTAATATTGCTTTCTGAAATCCAAACCAACTCTGCTTAGCACACACCTGAAGAAAATCCAAAGACACTTAAGACAATATATAAGCAAAAATACTTTTTCTGAGAAACACTTTCCCCAGGAAAGTTTTTAACCAGGTGGTATTTTATCTGGTAAATTTAATTTTGAAGCTTTGTGGGACTGTGAGAGAAGTAAGTCTTTCATATTCCACATGATAACTACTTTCTTTTATTTTGATGAGGCTTTTCTCCATCAGTTGAAGAATACATGGTTGTTGATAAAGCAATCACCATCAGTCACAAAGCCGCTAAGGTCAGTCTTAAAATGGTCAGAAATGGAAAGATACAACCAATTTATCATAAAGACCAAAGTCAGATCAGAAAAGAGACTCAGCCAGTGGTGGAGAGCACTCCAATAGGTGGTTTCGGGGAGAAGGGCTGCTGGGTGGAGCAAGCTTCAGCCAGGTGATGTCCAAGGAAAATAGTATTTAGCGGTGTCAGCATGTGTCAAAAGGGAAATGTACAGAGACATTAGGGACTGGGAGTTTTGTAAGCTTTCAATGCAAGTGAGATGTGCAAATGTTTATATGCAAGTGGGTCAATTGTCAAGCCCACCATGTGGGGCTTGTCTTTTTGCAATTTGTTTTTCCCTGACATAACACGAGTTGAGTTCCCACAAACTGCAGTGTTTTCTTACAAACTGTCACAAACAGAAGTGGATGTACATAGGCTCTGTGGTCCCAGTACACATGCCCTCCTTTCTTCTCTATTGTGCTAAGACAACTCTGCCAAATACTGCACGAGGTAAAAACATGGCTAGTCAGATTGCATACATAAAGGAACTTGGAGAATTAATCATTCCATGTTTCCTCTGTGGAAAATCACCCTGCAAAGTATGTATTTGTTTAAGAAGCATAACTTCAAAGACCTTGTCAAGCTTTTTTTTCTAAAGAGTGTGCTACTGTTGATTATGTAGCAAAAATGTATCTGCAACCTGTGTTCACGTGTCATTCTTTTTGCCCTTGCTAGCCTTCAAAATGATTAGAGAGGAGATTTGTTTTTAGGGGTGAGGTACAACTAAAAGGTCAGGAGCTTGAAGGCTTGAGGACATCTAAAGAGGCATGCAGAACCTCATTAAAAAAGTGTAATTGATTGATGACTGTATGAACTGCAACAAAAATAGATCTGAATACAGATTCCATTTAGTAAGGGCCTCAGGTTATTAAGCAAATGCAAAGCTGAGAAAAAGCTTCATCATGCTGACCACAGAAGATTTTGTATTGTCTCATTTGTTTTTTAAAACCACTCAGGTGGAGTAAACCTTAAATGTCAGCAGATATCTTTTAATACTCTCTGCAAATGCTTTTAGCAGGTACCTTATTTTGATACTGTGTGACATATTCTTGTAAGTTTAGTGGAGTGACCCAGCAATATCTTGATCCTGCATTTCTCAGAAATACCCTTAATGGATGTGATGTAGTTTACCTGTTCACTTCATCTGTTAGTTGTACATCATTTCCATTAGTTTGTTTTGAAAACATGCATTTTCTGTTTTGTTCATAAGTCAAATTTGGGTCCATCAATCTCTTTCCAGACTGAAACAGTGACAGGATGAATTATCTTGCAATTTTGAGCTGTTGGTGGTGCTACCCATATTATGAAGTTTACTTTTTCTTGTCAGATTCAGTATTCACCTAGTAATTTGAATTTATGAAATGGGAGCAACAAAGTAAAAAGCCTGAAATTGTCTTTCAGATAAACACTGATTTAACTATGGATAATTCAAACATTTCATTACCAAATATACAGCAGGGTTTAAGAAATTGAACTCTAAGTTGTCTAAAAATACTTTAGAAAGATTAAATCAGTATCTTAATGGCAGAGCTGAAGCTTACCTGGCCATCTTCTGACAAATAAATGACAGAATGCTGACTCACAGCTTACCAATATAGACGCTGGTATTAACCCATTCAGCCTTAATATATCAGTTTGCTCAGCTCCAAGGAAATTATTTTTGAATCTGCGTAGACTTTAATTTGGTGTAGTGAGTTCCACCTCATCACTTTAATACTTAGCTGCACAAAGATATAAGACTGAGATTTGGGGGACATCTATGCAGGCTGATCACACTTCATTTACTAATTTGACTGATGACACAGCAATGCATTGCATTCTGTTTTTAACCGCATAGCAGAAAGAAGATTTAGAAAGATTAGATTTTTGATAATTGTGCTGACTACTCATCCAGGTCTTGCTAATGTTCACATGTTTAATCCACTTTTTAAACCTCAATTAAACAGAAAATAGCTCTCTGCTGTTGGAATGTAGCAGTGGATTAAATATACTCTCTCTCCTTGTATGTGTCAGAGTTTATCTGTTGAGCAGATTGTTCAGCTGCACACTCATTTTGGCACATGGCACTTTGCTGTGCAGATAACAGACCTGGAAAAGGAATTAGATATCTGTTAAGGTTCATACTGAGCAGAATTTGAAGGAGTTCACACAGGGGAGCCTTCTGCTTAACTACTTTTATAATTTGCGCAGATCACCAGTACCAAAAAAAGTTAGCCTGACCCAGCTATTTGATTGGATTGGTATCTTAAGTTTAAGCAAAATCCTGGCAGTTTCAGTAGTGCTGTACAATTTCATGGAGGTAATGTACTGCCAAGTTTTTAAAAGCTTTCCCTCATGATGTCCTCTTGCATGATATGCAAAACAGGGTTTTCACTTTTTTCGCCCCACTTTTTTTTCAGTTTTCACCTCTGGTGCTTTGTCCGCTACTTTGCTGATACATGACAACAATGATTACTGGTATGAGAATTCCAGTATCTTGGAATATGATCACAGACCAAATTATTAAACATGTGTATATGTCTAAGGAGTACACTTCAACCCAGCAAATGGTTCAGCTTCAGCTGGCAGCCGTTGTAGTTCATTCATTCAGATCTCTTTTCATTAATGTTAGCTCTGTACTTTATATAGGACAAAAAATTCTATATGACTCACTGTCAGCAAAAGCAAACTATTTTATTCCTTAGCTAGCAGCAGCATTTCGAGGAGGTCGTCCTTGGTAGAAATTGCCTGCATGCTGTCTTTATGCAGTATGTTTGTTATAATGCATAGATCCTTTCAGGTCTGTGCCTTTATCAAAAGCAACTATTAAGTAATTGCTAATATTGTAAAGAGAAAACAACTAAGGAAGCTAATAATTCTCACAGTATACCCATGCAGACCTCTATCCTCCATTTTAGCTCTTTTCTTGGTTTTTCTATCCCTCTATTAGGTGAACCATCTGTGGGGTTCCGGGATGTGTTGCTTCGCGCTGGTCCAGAGGGATTTGCCAAAGCTGTCCGAGCACACCAAGGTCTGTTGCTGATGGATACAACATTCAGAGATGCTCACCAGTCTCTCCTGGCAACTAGAGTTCGGACTCATGACCTGAAGCTCATCTCTCCATTTGTCAGTCACAACTTCACCAACCTCTACAGCCTGGAGAACTGGGGAGGTGAGTTTTGTGAATTCTGAATTTCAGTAACATAAATCCAGTTTTGCAGCATCAACCTAGTTGCATAGCTAAAATGTCCATCTTTGTTCCCAAACCTGCTATTCTTGGGTATGCAAAAAGGGAAATAAACATAGTACTGAAGTAAAATATTTTAAAACCAATGTGATTAAGTACAACTTGGCTATACTGCATATGTGGGTTTTAAAAATATGTCAAGGTTCCCTTGGTATCCTTAATGGCTGTCATGTTCCTTCATATGCATCTATCTATTGTTTAATAGCCATGTGTGTTGGCTCTTCCCTGCCTCTAGTTTATAGATTTGTTCCAGTTTTTGTTGACTGACTGAATATTCCCACTTTTTGTGTGAGCTGTGAAAATCATGTCACTAAGAAACCTCCTACGGTGTCATTCCTCCACTTCCAGGAAGCCGGTTTTTCAGTGAGATTCTTGAATAGAAAATGATTGTACCTTTTACCTGCCCGAAAAATCACGTCCATGAAACTTGAGGCATAAGCAATGCAATAGTGTTCATGTAATAGGTGCATTTACTCTGTACAAACGCCAGTGGATGATGAGTCCATGGGAAGTATAGTCAATTCTTCTGTTTAAACAGTCAACACTCAGGGCACTAACATGTATGGAGAAGATGTGACCTAAGCCTAAATCTTTATTACACAGTTAGATTATTCAAAGGTACTATTTCTGTGAGTTGATCAGAAAATTAAGCATAAAAATAAGAGAAGAGCTTGTTCTCAGTATTTGTTTTGGTGCTTGAATCTTTGTTAGATTTTAGGTAAAAAAGTGAGAAAAAAAATTAGGATGTTTCTTGAGAAACTCATAGAGGTGATTCTTTGTAGCAGATCATGTTGTACCACTCAGAAGTGGAGCTGTGTATATAATTTCTGTGGGAAGTAAATTTAACGGAAGTCTACTTTTTGTTTCAACAGATAAGCTAGATGTTGTCTGACTATAATGTAAAATCTTAAATGCTTCGAGAGGATTTCTAATTCCCATGAATATTGTGAAATCACAGTGTGACCCATAGCACAGGTTTTGTGATTCATGTCCAATTGTGTAGGACCACTTACATTTAAAGCAAAGTTCTGAAGACAATCTCTGACAACTTGTGGTGAACCTTTCCTTTGAGGAAATGGTTGAATGGGTGCTTGGGGAGCCCCTCAGCGGCATGTCTAATTATAGTTAGCGAAGTTGTTCTGAAAGGGAAAAGCGCTTTGACTGGGGCACACAAATTATTCTTAAAATTCCTCTTTAAGATGGCCTTTTGTGGAAAATACTTTCCACATTGCCACATAAGAACCAAGTAAAATGCTGTTAGTTTGCAACGCACAGCTTGCTGGAAATCCAGCTTCTATATGCATTCGATTTAAATGTATACTCAATAACATGGGAGGCTTTTTCCACGAAGCAATGTTTTCAGTTAAATAGTACAAAACCACTGAATGAGCAGCATATTTTTGTCTTGTATACATTTCTTTGCTTTATGTGTGTGAGAAAAGTCCTTTATGTTTAAGCTTAAACATAGATCTTTGTGTATGCATTTAGCAGACAATGCAAACTTACCGGGTTGTACAGGAGAGGATAAAAGTTTACCTGGTAAGGTATTTGTGGGATTGGAATAATGGCAAACTGCACTATGGGACACTACACACTGACAATCCTTTATTTCAACAAGATGCTCCGATGACTAGTGTCCTTTGCATAGGGAGGGTTGAACAAAATGACTATGTTCAGTGTGCCTATTTGGCTTCTGTTTCCAAAAATGTCATTCTGGTGAAGCGTCTGACATTTAAAGGGAAAAAAGAGCCATTGATGCTCCTTGTGATTTCCAGGAATTTAAAGATAATTCTTAATTAGTTGATGGTTGGTACTTGCTGTGAAAACTCACAAGTGAACACTATACATAAAGATAGTGTTTTTCTTTATCCAGTTATGACAAAAGGCCTACAGTAGAGTCATGTGAATCTTGGTTTGTTCTCCTATTAAAGACAAAAAGTGCCATCATCTGAATGCAGTGGGTATCGGGTATTAAAATACTTTAATGAAAACTCTTAAGGTTTTTTTCGTCTTCGTGTGAAGGGAATGAAGACGTACTTATCTCTCATTTATGACAACAGCGTGTACATCACTGCTTTCAGATGTCAGCCCCCAGTTAAGTAACAAATTCATTTGTCTTTGTCTTCTTTTTATTTATTTCTTTTAAGGGTTGTGATGGTATTAAATATGCCAGTGGAGCCTCTTGAGGCATGACTTGTCTTGTATAGTGCAAAACACAAAACCATCTTGTTATGCAAGAATTTGAAGCCACAATAGATTTTACACACCTGGGAGCCCTTCCTGTGACTTCAGTGTTGAAAAATATTCATGTATTGGCAGGGATGCATTTTATTACAGGGGTGATCATGGACTATAAAGGCATTTGAAAAACAAATGTTATCAATTTCTGAGGATGAACTTTATGCCTCCAGCCACTTCTAAACTGACCAAAACAAGGAAACTCTCCAGTAAGTTAATTGTCTCCTCATTTAGACTCATTTGTCCTCTTTGAGATTGTAACTATGCGGTTCATAAAATATTTTTTTGAAAAATGTATTACCTCAAGGTGACTCAAATGACTAACTTTAATGTCTTAGACTGTAAAATCCCTTAAACTATATTTTCAAGTAAACAGATTTTTTTATAGTAATGTACACACTTCAAGAGAATGTACACATCTTCAGTCATTTTGTTCTGCATTCCTACTGCTAGATTTGGACACCCTGCTTTTACAGTACAATGTTCAGATTCGTCACTTGCCAACAACACACTCGCCTCATTTTGATTTAGTTTGTGAAACACAAATTAGACCCCCATTTTGTGAAGTCTCTAGCACACAATGTCCCACAGTCATGGCTCATAACAGAAGCTTTAAACAGGCCCTCGTGAATCACTTAATTACCACAGGAGGAATAACTTCTGTGCCTCTTGTGCCGCTCTTGATAGGATTTCTTTATAAAACACACATTCATCACACACTCATCAGAGAGCCCTTTTTTCAGGCCTGTTTGAATCACCTGGAACTAAAATAAATCAGTCCAGGGCAATGACTAATTTTTTAATGTGAATATTGAGGGCTGTCACCATGACAGTATCCTTTTGGAATATTGCTTTCACATGTTTCAGCTGCTGAGAGGCAGAATGAATCATTGAAGAGATTAAGCCTGTGAAAGCCCTTTGAGAATTAAGTCCTTCCTGATATAGTGTTCCTCCCTGCTCCATACAAGATACTGTAAAATTAACTGGGTCACTTAATAGATCTACATGGTTCCACGTGTATGACTGGCACAGTTTTATCAACTGTTAGATCTGCTGACTTAATAACTCCTTGGATATGTAGGCATGTGGACATATTAACATCCTGGAGTCTCACTAAACATAAACATTTATATCGCAGTGAAAGATCTGCATACATTGGGCTCATAACTGCCTATTGAAGGTAAATGGTTATAGATACTAACGTGATGTTTTTAGATTTAGATCAAAGATAAAAATACTTTGAAAGCATTTGTAGCCAATCCCTTCTGGCTGACATCGTCTTTACTGGAGTTTGGACATCACCCAGTCTGTGACTCAACAAGCTTTGTTTTGAGTGTGTTGACGCTTACTCCAGCCATGCATACTTAAGAGGGTGTTGGAAGCTCATTTATGTCTGCAACCCTCTCCAGGGAATGGTGTCCTAAAATAAAAACTTTTAATAAATTAAAATAAATGTGAGCATTGCACTCTTTTCCATCTATTTTCTATTGTTACATGTTTAGTGGTCTCCTGTGAAAGGAAAGAGGACTGCAGCAGTGCCTATTTTCAGTGTCAGCTTCCAGTCTTCATTCATGCTATCAAATCATATTGTTTTTGCAACGTCAGAAGAATCTCACTCTGATCGTGTTTCTATATTTTACATGGAGTGAAAAATGAAACATGAATACTCATTATCACACATCAAATTGGATATTTTCTTATCCAAACCATTAGTGTAAGGGGTGCTGATGTAGGCAAAATTTCAAATCAGGGATTTGGAAAAAGAAATATGAAGAGAGTTTTTGCATTGCAGCCCTCCTGCTCCTAAGAGTAGGCATCACGCAGATGTGCTTGGTATTTTCACAGTGTCCAAATGCATGAGTGCTCAAAAATTAAATTTAATGACTGTGTTGGATCAGCAAAATACCACTGGAGGCTTCAATATTTCTAGCTAATATGATAAACGGGTATGAGAATCGTTAATCTGCTCCCCCACAAAGGGAAATCTGATTCCCACCCCCAACCCCCACCTCTCCTTGTGGAGCATCTCTGGGATTTTGAAGTTCCTTTGAAAATAGCTGATGAAAGTCCTGAAATGAGCTATGGCTGTGCAGCTATCATCAAATAGCGTGGATTTGTGGCTGATGGGGATATGTTTTAAAAATGACTTTCTGACTCTTAAATTGACATCAAAGTCAGAATGACAGATGACACTTGAGATGAAAGCTGAAGTTCTGTCTCCGACTGTGCATGTGTGTCTGTGCGTACAGGTGCTACCTTTGACGTGGCCATGCGATTCTTGTCTGAATGTCCTTGGAAGAGGCTCCAGGAGCTGAGAGCTTTGATCCCGAACGTCCCTTTCCAGATGCTGCTGAGAGGGGCCAACGCTGTAGGCTACACAAACTACCCTGACAACGCAGTCTTCAAGTGAGTCAGCTGAACACATTTTAACAATTTATCAAGCTCTTCTTCCTCTTACATGAGTTATTGAATAATCAAATGATCAAATCCTCATGTTTATTTAGTTCTATTTCACCACCTGATTATCACCATCTTTGTCACTCCAGTAGAGAATACCTCAACACAGAGCTGAGCTGTAACTTCAGGACACGTCATGCTCACAAGCTTTAGTTATGTACGGATTGAATGCAACATTGGTGTGGCCCTCACATTGTGTAAAGAATTGTATTGACTCTGGAAAAAGCCCACAGACTTTTATATTCAAGCATAGTCATTTATAATGGTATAACAGCCCTGTCATTTTTTTTCTTTTTAGATTTTTTGTGTGTGTTGAAAGCCCTTTTTATTGAATTTTTCAAATTGTCAGTTTGAATTAGACTTTTCTTTAAGCCAGCTGCGGCTCCTTCTGTATCATTGTCTGGTATTGTCATATTTTGAAATGGTCCTCTGGCACGGTTGTTGCCATGAGAACCACATTGAGCGACTTGCAGCTTCATACTCGGTTTTGTTGCCTGTACAACAGTTTTGCCTCTTTAAAAATGACTGAAATTGTTTTGCCACCCTGTAATACTTACACAGAGGAATGTGACACGAATGATCCCAACAGTACAGTGATTAGAAATTTTAAGTTTGAATGAAGTTGTTGATATTCAAGGCTTTAGCATTGCGTGTTTATACGACAGCTGTATCTATACATTATTTTATGAGAAGTGCTCAAGAAGTGCTCAAGTGTTATGTCATTTTTGCGGATCTGAACAGCTGGAAATTAGTTATTCAGAGAAAAGATTTTTAGATTCTGGTTCAATGAAGATTTAGTAGATTTTGCTGTCACTAAGAGCTGCACCCACACAGAGGTATGAGATCTGACATCTTGGATGAAGTCTTCCAATGTAGTTGCTTGTCTAATATACCTAAAGGGAAAAACTGTACTGTGGGTACCTCCTGAACATGCAGCTTTCACACATGTAATCAGGTCAGTTTGGTTGATGTGTTCCTGTTGTCTCTTATCATGCTCACTGAGTTGCACATCACTCATACAGCTGTATGCTAGGCACACACGTGTACACACACCTCCAACTCTTTTCCAAATGAATTCACAAGCTAACGTTGCTATGTGGACGACTAATACACACAATTATACACTCATTTAGCAAGCTGCACACACAAACGGATAAGGACATCCCCTTACACACAGTATTTCTACCCCCTCTATCTTGAAATAGATTAGCTGTGGCTACTTTGTGACTAATGCATCCCTTCTGTCCCTCCTTCCTCCTGAATCAGACACACAGACCTCCCCTCTCCTCCCTGTTTTTTGCCCTCCCCACCCCTCTTATCATAGTCATTAGTTATCCTCAGTGATAACCTCCCTATTCTGTGCATATATCCATCTACCCAAATAATGCACATCTTTTCTTCTTCTTAACTCCCCTTTCTCCCCCAACTGCTCCTCATCTCCCATAGGGGGGGAGTGTTATTGAAAATGTTCCCATCATTGTGATTAATGGCTTTGATCTGTTGGCCACACTCCCACTCCATTGTCCCTGCACTCAGTTCCTCACCCTAAACCTTTTGTGTATAACAGCTTTTGTATATAACCTTAGCACCTTCATTAACTAAGTCAAATCAAAAAGGAATTCCATTTAATGCAATTGATTTTACACTAAACCAAGTTGTAAACCACCTAATTAGGATTCTGAGATAAAAGCAGAATCAAGAATGGCTCACAGTACAGCACAAAGCAGTTTGGATGAGTTGAATACACATTTTTGTTCATTGTTGTGCGCTCCAGCAGGATGTGTAATGTAGTGAGAATACTCATTTTATTCAGGTACAGCAATATTTATGTGCATCCATATGGAAATTGATATAAACGGCTTATCCCACCCCAGATTGGTGCTATTATCTGGAGCTCACAGTGAACAACAACTCATTATATGCACACTTTCTGATAATCTCACAGGCTGTCATCCCTCCTGATGCCCTTTAAGGGGATTTAAACGTAAAACTTGGGTTGGCTAACAAATGTCCCTCCCACCAGGTTCTGTGAAGTGGCCAAAGAAAATGGCATGGACATCTTTCGCGTATTTGATTCCTTAAACTACCTCCCCAACATGCTGCTGGGTATGGAGGCTGCTGGAGCAGCAGGTGGTGTGGTTGAGGCTGCCATCTCGTACACAGGCGATGTCTCTGACCCAATGAGGCAAAAATATTCCCTGGACTACTATGTGAAGCTTGCTGATGAGCTTGTTAAAGCAGGGACCCACATCCTCTGCATCAAGGTGAGCAAATAAAAATAGCTTCTAGGATCCAGGCGTTCCACTAAGTTTTTTATTTATTTATTTTTTACTGACGCGCTTCCAAGAATACGGTTGACCTACTGAAGCCATATTTCTTGTCACCCTGCACCTGGACTAATAAGCACGCACACTGCACACTGACGTTTGTGTCGCAATCAGCCCAGTTATCAGCAAAACCTTTTTAACTCATTAAACATGACATAACATACTTATTTTGCCCTTATTTTATATATAAATGTTTTAGATATTGTAACCAACACAACAGACTTGATTTTGGGATGTTGCAGGTAAAATGTTTTCCCATATGCAGTTAAGTATCAAATTTAGAAAATAATGTTGTTCTGCAATTCTTCAATGTAGCTTGATGAGTCAATTACTCCTTTTCATGGAAAAAGGTGTTTTGATGGGTTCTAAACTGTTAAAGGTTGTCCGTGCACAGCTTGTTCCAAGTCAAATCATTTGTATACTTGAGCCCCTTATCAAAATGAATTGATGGATATTATTCATAAAGTGTTAATTTCTTCATTCAGGCATGACAAAATAAGCCCCTCTTTACTACCATGCTAATCATCAGGCTCGGCAGTAGTATTTGCATACAAGGTTATCATAACTGAGTTACTGTTATAAGAGGAAATGGGCAAACATAATAACCACAAGATTTGTAATGATCATCAAAGGGAGTCCAATGTCATATAAGCTGTGTCAGCACTTTTTGTCAGCATCGGTCAGTACGAGTAGGTCAGACTTTATTTTTGTTTTGACCGTTTTGCAACATTTAAATTCAATAGCTTGTTTTAGAATAACCAGTAGTTTATTTATTTACTAGCTCTTTGTACATTCAAATTGAAGAAACAGTTGGTTATGGAGACTGGTTCAGGCAACTTCAATAGTCTTAATGCTTTGTTTTAATATCTAAATGAACTTAAGTACCAAGGGGCACCAGGACAGCTACAAACACCTCTGATTCACATGGACAAATGGAAACAGTGAGGCGGAGACAAGGAAGTCAGCCACAGTTGGAGACCTGCAAAGAGTGAGGCAGATTTGGAAGGGTAGAACGAATGAGAAGAACAAAGTCTGACACTATCATATACTTGGCTTAACACAACTTGGCTATGAGCTCTTCAGCATACACAGAGGGTTTCATCCCGTGCCCTGCATACTCAGACTGTATACTAAGCAAAATGTAGGAGACCGGGAGACCAGGAGCTGGAGAGCATCAGACCGTCTATTCAAATAGGAAATACATCAGGAAGATGCCAAACGAGTGTCTCAGGCAGGTGAAAGCCATGAAAGGTGAAGATAAGTGGGGAAAGGAATGATCAAGGAAGACTTAGCCTCTGTTAGCATGTTGCACCAACAGTGTGCCAAAATGGTGCCCACGTGAATCATTGTTTCTCTCAACAGGATATGGCCGGCCTGCTGAAGCCAGAGGCCAGTAAGCTTCTGATTGGTGCGTTGAGGGACCGTTTCCCAGACATGCCCATTCATGTGCATACCCACGACACGGCTGGAGCCGGAGTCGCAGCCATGCTGGCTTGTGCTGAGGCTGGAGCTGATGTAGTAGATGTTGCGGTGAGTATTAATCATAAGAATACTACCAATTACCATTTCCCTATGCTTTTTTTATTTTTTTTAAGAAAGACTTATCTCGAATCCACCTGCTGGTTCATTATTTTCCTGAAGGTTTTTTTTTTCTCCTTAGTTGTGAAATGTTACAGAAACTAAAACAGAACAGTTGTTGAGCTAGGAGTTTTTCCTTCTCTGATTATCGATGCAAGCTGCCAGCACAGACACTGAAACATTTCAGTAATTGGCGGGCATTTGCAGTTTTGACTGGTGGTCTGTTCAGTTTCTGGCAGCTGCACAGAAAACGCGACTAACTGTCCAACTCTATCAAATATCAGCCTCAATCACTAAAACATTTACAATGGTTGAATATAACATGAAAAACAAAAAAAGTATATGGAAGAACATACTATTCCTGTCAAAGGGAAGTTGCATTTTGACAGGCCCTAGTCATTATATTATGCTTTCATGAGCATGTTTTAGAGTAATGTGCCCTCCAGACTAGTGAAGAAGACCCCCCCTCTCTCCATGACCATACATTGCTATGACTTCACTAAAGTGTTCCGCTGTTGTAATGAATGAAGATGTTGGACAAAAAAGTGTTTGATTTTCTCTGTAGGTTGACTCGATGGCCGGGATGACATCACAGCCCAGCATGGGGGCCATCGTTGCCTGCACCAAGGGAACCAAGCTTGACACTGGTAAGCAACCTATTCAAGTTCATTTACGATGTCACGTTGTTGTCATCTATATGGTTCTGATAAGAGTGAGGAATTATGGGAATTGAACAAACAGTCACAACTGATGATTGCACTAAACTCTAACATATCTACAACACTTGGTTTGACTCCTCTACAACTACATCCGTTTCTTATACCGTTTACAGGAGAGCAAAGCTCAAAAGCTAAAGCACCAACAATAGCACAAAGGAGTAGTCCGTCATGTCATGCTGTCCACATACTTTGAGACAGCCACCAACTGTGGCTTCATATTATTGTGATTTATGTCTCCATTTTACTACGGAAGGGAAAAGAAGAGGAAAACCATGGTTGTCTGCAGGTTCCCAAATGAATTAGCCCCCCTCTTGAATATCTAAGTAATGTATTGCTAGTGAGTAGGTTGTGTATATTCCTGTCAGGACAGCAGGAAGCTTGTGGTCGGAGGTAAACCCTATGCTCTTATTGGTTGATACTAGGATAGTGAGCAACCAAAGCCAACAATTTTTTCCATGCATGTCATACACTTATCCTGAATCACTTTGGTCTGACATCAGTATTTTCTCAACAATTCTTTACTCATTCTTTGCTAGATTTATTATTTTCATTGTAAATATTGCTCAATATTATGCCTTTTCTTTCTTCATGAGGATCTTGTCATTAGTTTCCATTTTGTCAGGGTGCTTGTCTTTGTCAGCACATTGTTTTTCATGTTTTTTGTATGGCAAAAAATGATGAAAATTGAAATTGTTGAAAATCCATACAAATATAGCACCTGCATCAAGGTTTGTTTTCAAACCTAAATATACTTTAAGTTTGAACACATATATAATAATAGGTACACAAACATTTTGGAACCTTTCCCAATATTGAGGTTCAGAAATCTAAGACCTTCTGGAGTCGTCAAGAGGTCATGGAATGAGCTGGTTGGAAGGATTTATGGTTCATTCCCATGTGAATGTTGGCCATTGTGTTCAGCTCAATATAATTTTAACGGGCTGTGAAAAAGCTGAAATCCTATATCCGCCGATGACTGACCAGGATATACCTCCCACAGCAAGGAATGCAGAAGGGAAAATATATTAAAGCAGACAGTTGTAAAACTTCTGTTTAAAATTTGAATTAACATAAAACAGGCTAAAGGGATTAAAACAAATCTGGAGTGTGCTACTCACTTATGTAAAGGAATGCTTTTGGGAAAACAAAATCAGCCTCAATAAATAGATCTGATGGGTCATTTCAGCAAAGAGATGCTTTCAGCATAGATTTTTTTTGTCAAAAAAGAGAAAATCCAACTTAAGAGTCAAAGAGTAAAACTGAACATTTGTTGCGACTATAGAAGACATCGTGGCAAAAAACTATAAAGTTTGAAAGTTGACAGAAGTGAAGTTTACAGGTGGGAAAATGCATGTTTTGTTTCTTGCAGAAAAAATAGTGATAAAACTGTGGAGAATGGCAACTTTTTGCTAGTGCAGTAGCATTGACCTAAAGACACTATACTGATGGAGAATTTATGAAGACCTGTAAACTGATGACTGAAGGCAGGGCTGATGTTTTTTCCATAACTATTTTCAAAGGATGTACTGATCAAAGAGACTTTGCTATATTCGCTCGATACCTCCAACACAGCAGCGATGTTCTATTTGTTTCCATGCACAATATAACAGTACATCATCAAGTCCCTGTGTGTGTCTGTGAAATCAAATGAGTTTCTTAGCTAGGCTCATAATCTCTGCAAAAAATTCTAATTGTGCATTGAAAGAGGAAGACATTTTTGTGCCAGTCTATAAATCCACTTTATAAAATAATGCAAAGTTCTGACTAATGTCCATCTTTTTAGAGGGAAACCTTTTGTTTTCTATGCTGCTCTCCACATTGAGACATTTAACCCACAGCTGAAAGCAAGAGTCCATGTATAGGCTCTGGACAGAATAAATATTATTCATGGTGATGTAGAAAATATGATGTATTGCATCATGAAAAAGCCATTTAGAAACAGTCCAGAGTTTGTGTCACAATATCAATTTGTGAGCATTCAGTACATGTTAAAGCAGGGAGAGGGTGAGAGATGAGGTCATTACTCAAGTGCAAGAGTTTCTTCTGTCAGTTTATTCATGGTGTTTCAATTTGTACCAATTGAGACTTAAATTGAGATGCACAACGTCTCTCATATTCATACATGTGTGCATAACTATAACCTCATCCTAGTGTCACCCCTACTACTATATGCATTATGCATATAGTCTCATCCTTATGCTCGATACAACTCACCTTGTGCTTCTTTCTTCTCTCGTCTTTGCCTCAGTTAATGCCATTTCCCTCTTTAATCCATTTGCTTGTCTCACCACTTTGGTAATTAAGCAGAGCAGTCCCTTGGACACTTCCATACCTCCCTGACCTTAGTGTGTTTGCTCCATCCGTCTACCCCCATACTCCCTCCTCCCATCTCTGCTTCGAACCAGTAATCAGTACTGTCTAGTGTCTGCCTCTATCGCTACACTCATTTTTCTAGAACTTTTTTCCTTCAAACTGTGTGTGCATCATACTCTTGTTTCCCCTTCAATCAGTGACAATGCAATTAACAATACTTTTAAAAAATCCCAGCTTCACTTCTTTAAATTACCATTCTCTGTTTCCACTCCCTGAGTGTATTTGTCCTATATAAAATGGCAAAAGCAGTGCTTTCTTGGTTCATTCATCTGTCTTTAGTGGTTAGTTTATTTATTTAGTAAGCCATAATGTGCGCACACTCCTGTGCATTTCAAATGTCATGCATATTCACACATGCACACACACAATTGCATTTGAATGATGATAGCATATACAGTGGCCCTTGTGTGTGTTGGACCACACTTACTGCCTAACCTCATGCAACATGCATGGCTTTAATAGACACCGTTACAATGCAGTAAATGTGTTGCAGTCAAGTGCACAAAAAAAGTGCTCACAGCTTGCATTTGGCAGGAAATATGCAGTCGAACCACAAAACCTTCACTGAGCTCTGACAGAGGGGCGAGTGAAGACACCCACTGGGCTTTTTCTCTCCATCACACTTTTAAGTCCACACTGTTTTTCTGTGTAAAGAGAGAACACTTTACCGTATCTAATCTCTCTTCATACTTTTATCTTGGAGTACAAATATTTTAAACATGCATTTATGTATTTAAAATACAAAAACATACATTTATATTATCTGCATTGATCATAGAAGACCTTATTTCAATTGAGCATCTTTCCCATTATTGTAACCATTATCTTTTTACCTGTAATACTTTCAGATGACACATTCTTTGCATAATGTGATGTAATGTGAGCATTGTTCACTACAAATGCATTTTCTTTAAATATCTTTTTAAAGTACTAAAAGAAAAAGTTTGAGCTTTTTTTCGAACAGACTGCTGTTTGACACTCTGATCATGGTATCCCTTTGCCCTGCAGACTGAAGCTATAATTTCACAGTTGAAGCTCAAATGAAACTGCCAAAAATGGTGTTTGCAAGCAGAGAGGGAAATGGACCCAATTACTGACGGGTTTGGCAGACAGCTAAATTCTGAGCAGCCGCTACTCGCACATTAATTTCAAATTAATTTCACAGTGGCATCATTTCTGTGCCAAAACGATAGTTGAAATTCTAAAGGCACTTTTTAAATGCTTTTATCTTATACAATTGTCACAAGTGTGTTTTTGTCATTTCTGCAATCACACTATTTCTTCGTACAATTAGAAATGTACAGATCCAGAATGTTTTTTATGCTTGCTTTAGCAGGAGCAATTGAAAGCAAAAAAGGTCAACCCTACCATCTAATCCAGTAGTTAAAGGAACACAAAGGGAAGCGACAAAATGATGTTGGCAGTTGGCTGATACTATTGAATTTATACAGAATTTATATTATGTCTCAAATGTGCCAAGCTTTGTTTTTGCTCTTCAAACATAAACTGCCTTGCAGATTCGATTTCTGCACAGTCACATTAAAGTGAGTATACAAAAACCCATTTTTGTGTTTTGTCATAGGCATTGCTCTGGAGAAGGTGTTTGACTACAGTGAATATTGGGAGGTAACCAGAGGCCTGTACGCCCCTTTTGACTGCACTGCCACCATGAAGTCGGGCAACGCTGATGTCTATGAGAATGAGATACCAGGCGGGCAGTACACAAACCTTCACTTTCAGGTACATTTATCATACAAAAAAACCCAACATATATACACACATATATGTAAGTGTGTTTGTGTGTGTAAATATGTTTTTTTTTTCTTTTTGATTTTATCAAATACACATAATGTGCCCCTTGTTGTTGTATGGTATATTCACAGCAAACATGGGCAAAAGGTATCAGAACAAAAATCCAGAGTTGTCCACCAGACATAAATAGATAAATGAGGGAAATCTTTTCTTACAGGCTCACAGTATGGGGCTTGGAAATAAGTTCAAGGAGGTGAAGAAAGCATATGTTGAAGCCAACAAACTGCTTGGAGACCTTATTAAGGTAAGACAGCAAGCAAAACAGAGACTTTATCACCATTTCTGCAGTTACAGAAACCAGAATCCTAATTAGATTTTCAAAATGGCAAAATAGTTTTATATATTTGATTTAAAGGCAAAAAATGGCCTGCAAATCAAGTAAAATCTTAAAATTGGTTTGGTATTATTTTGAATATCTAAACCAATTAAATTATTGTCTTAATTATTGTGGAACCACAAACATTTCACAAAGTAAGGCTGCTTCACTTGTATCGGTTCCTTTGTAGTTTTATTTTACTTTGTCGTTCATTTGATATTACTCCTTTTGCAGAGCTGATATTTACTGCAATTCCCTTTATCGTAGCTGACAAAAAAATATCCCACATTGAGTAAGGTTCAGCCATTGCTGTCAAAATGTACTTTCTGCTGTACAATTTATATGACCTTCTTTCCTTCTGTGTAGCTGTCCTGTTGCACAATCCTTTGAATGGTTTTGCTAGAGTTTCCTCTAACATACTGTGTCAGGTTATAGTTTGTTAATTAGTGTTGTCCAAAAGAGTGAACGGGTGAGCAGGTCCATGTGGCATGGAGGTGCACTACAGTATGTGCACGTGTCTGCTTATCGCAATTTAACAGGTTGCTTTGAGTGATGTGAGACCTCTGAATGGTTTTATACTGGATGAGATGTAGATTTTCTATTAGTTGGAGAAAAAACATTTTTACTACTTGACTATTGGAATTACTATTGTTATCTGTGTTACATATAAACTTAAGTTTAGTTTTTTAATTATTTCTTTAATTTGTTATTTTGCAATATATTATTAATACATTTATGTTCGATTTGATTTATGGATATTAATTGGATAGAGTTTTTGAGAAGTTGAAAGTCTACAATCTACAAATTGGCATCTGTTGAGTTTCTGTGATTTTATTTACTTTCCACCAGGCCGTCAGTTGAATTGACCGTGATGGCTTTACCACAGATTGTTTTCTTAATTGAAATGAGGGAAAAGAAAATGTTGGAAAGTTGTGTATTAGTGCATGGATTTAGTTCCAGTTCTATCTATGAGTTATTGTGATTGTGATCTTATTTAATCCATTTTATTAAATATTGAAGGTGCCTCTCTTCTGCCTAATTATTTCAGTTTTTTGTTTTCCCCAGTAAAACCACATGATCATAGAATTGATTGTTAAAAACTAGTTTTATGTTAGTGTTATTGGAACTGAAGACTGAAAATGATTAATTTGTGGTAATATGTTCATTCTAATTGAAGATATTTGGTCATTAAGTAATAGTGGGAGGTTTATAATTTAGATTGGAGAACTCTGACAGCCAAGGGGAAACATTGATCTCAAGTCCTAATTGTGTTTAGTGTGCTGAGTAGGAATGTCCAGTTTATCAGTTTCCATTCAGAACTTTCCACAGGCCTTTTTGTTTTAATCATTTTTCTGTATTTTATCTTTATTTGCTTCATGCCTTTTGTGTTTGATTAACCTCAATGTGTTCACACTTCGCCATCTCTACATCCATTCTCTTTATTAAGCAACTTTATTTTTCATTCTTTTATTTGCTCATTCTGTTGCTTTTTTCATTTTTACAGAAATAATCTGTCTTGTAAGTGTTATTATAGGTGTTTCCAACACTGATTCATGGTTACTCATCTCTTCCTTTTTTTCATCCTTTTTTATTCTCTTTTTTGTGTCTCAATTTTCTTCTTCTGGTCCTATCTCCTTAATTTTTGTTTCCCCATCTCTATTTTCCTAATCAGTTTTCTTCCCGACCACCCTGTTCTCTCCCCATGTTCTCTATCAATTCATTTAAGACTCTGTGGGCTTCACTGCACAAGCCAATGATGACTCAATGTGCCCAGAGTTCCTGTTATGCTCTCTGTTGTGTCCTGTTTGCTTGACAATAGCAGTGTCTTTCAAACTCTCAGCTTGTCGATAACTGGAAAGTCGCCTGCTTGTCAGATTCAAAAATAAATGGGATGCACCTCATATTGTGCCGATAATGTGCTGATAAACAAATGTTCAAACAGATTTTCATTTAAGCACTGGCAATAAAGGATGATGCTTGTATGAAAGACTCAGTACTCAAACAATATTCGGTTCCAAGAATGTTACCTCTCCCATTAAAAAATAAATAAATGAATAAATAAATAAATAAAACGGGGGGGAAAAAACACTTTTCCAAAATATTTTAGATTGTCATCATGGGATCATTTTCACAAAAGTGGTTGTTTTACTGTTGTAGGTTAACTGATTTGTATTTTCTGGCAGCTGGTGTTTGATGCTTGATTAAGAAATCCAGATATCTCTGCAGAATGCACTACATCCAACCTGACAGACCTGACTGTTAAACCAATTTAGAGCTGAAGCAACATATGTTTCTCACGACTTTTTATATAGATAGATAGATAGATAGATAGATAGATAGATAGATAGATAGATA